GCCGGGTCATGGGTTATTTCTAAAGTGCATGAACATCATAACCACCCTATGAGTCCTACCAAAACTAGAGCTTTTCGTTGCAATAGGAGATTGACTATGAGCGCGAAGAGAAAAATTGCAATAAATGCGGTTGCCGGAATTCCTCTTCACAAAACCTACACCTCTGCCGTAGTAGAAGCCGGCGGTTATGAGAATTTACCGTTCATTGAAAAAGGATTGTAGGAACTACGTTGACAAGTTTCGCCGCTTACGTTTAGGAAATGGTGATGCCATTGCAATTCAAAGTTTCTTTTACAAAATGCAAGCGGAGTGCCCCGGTTTTTTCTTTGCCCTTGATGTAGATGAAGAATCTCGCCTTCACAATGTATTTTGGGCGGACAAGCGATGTCGGTATGCTTACAGAGATTTTGGAGATGTGATAACTTTCGATACAACTTATCTCACCAATAAGTACGACATGCCCTTTGCACCTTTTGTAGGAGTAAACCACCATGGGCAATCCATCTTGTTCGGTTGTGGCTTAATTTCAAATGAGGACACCGACACATTTGTGTGGTTGTTTACAAAGTGGCTTGAGTGTATGGATGGTTGTTGTCCTAGTGGAATTATTACTGATCAAGACAGAGCAATGCAAAATGTCATTCAAATTGTGTTCCTAAATACAAGACATCGGTGGTGTTTATGGCATATAATGAAGAAGGTGCCTGAGAAGTTGGGAGGGTTGACTGATAAAGATGAAGTTAGTGCTTGTTTACATGATGCTGTTTATGACTCCCAAACGGGTGCACAATTTGAGTTCGCATGGACTTCTATGTTGCAAAGGTAAGCATTTGTTTTTTACAAGTTATGTTCAATATGACAACTATTGTAACATTCATGTTTTGTAATGTGCAGGTTTCATCTTAATGACCACGAATGGCTACATGTGCTTTACAATGAAAGACATCGGTGGGTGCCATGCTACTTGAGGCCAACTTTTTGGGCAGGGATGTCAACGACCCAACGGAGTGAGAGCATTAACGCCTTTTTTGACGACTTTGTTCATTCTAAAACAAGTCTAAAGGAATTTGTTGATCAATACGGGTGTGCGTTGAAATGCAAAGTAGAGAAAGAGTTCCAAGAGGATGCTAAGTGTCTCACCAAAATGTTGCCTTGTGTGAGTATATATGCCATGGAACATGAGTTGCAACAAATGTACACACTTGCAAAGTTCAAGGAGTTTCGAGCTCAAATGGCCGAGAAGTTGCATTGTGACCTGTTAGGGTGTGAGGATGGTATACATTACAATATCCGTGAAGACAAAATGGAGAATGGTTTTTTTTTTCAAAACGGTCCATGTTGTGGTTGAGTACGATAATTCTATCCCTAATTCTAAAGCTGTGTGCACGTGCCACTTATTTGAGTTTAGAGGGATTGTTTGTAATCACATCATCACAGTCCTTGTGCGTAACGGAGTTCATGCCCTACCACAGTGTTACATCATGCAAAGGTGGAGAAGAGATATCAAAAGAGGATACACAAGAGTAAAAATTAACTATGATGGTTGGATTACGACTAAAGAGCAACAACGGTTTGACAAGTTATGCACCACCTTTGAAAGACTTGCAAATAGTGTGGCTGATGATGATGAACATTATGAACGCGTCTTGACATGGGTTGAAGTTGAATTACAAAAATGCAACATGTCAAATGGTCGTTCGTCAATTTGTGGAGTAATGACTCAATTAACGGACACCCCGCCAATCCAAGTCGTAGGCGTGAACGGACAAACAATTGTTCCTATTGAAGATCCAAACAGGACAAAACGTAAAGGCGCTCCGAGAAGAATAGGCAAAAAGGGCCTATTGAAAAGGGAAAGAAAAAAGCTAAGGTACATATATTCATTTGTCTGTGAAACCGGCTCAATTTGTTTGGTCACAGACATCGAGCCACTGGAACCTGTACAAATGTCTGTGAGACTGGATTGAAATGTCTTCTCACAGACATTAAGCCACTGGAACCACTGGATTACCCAAAGTATAAATGTCTGTGACACAGGATGAAAATGTCTGCCCACCGACATTAAGCCACTGGAACCACTGGATTAGCCAATTTATAAATGTCTGTGAGCGAGGAAAATGTCTGCCCACAGACATTAAGCCACTGGAACCACTGGATTACCCAAAGTATAAATGTCTGTGAGCCAGGAGGAAAATGTCTGCCCGCCGACATTAAGACACTGGAACCACTAGCTTGGCCAAGGTTTAATTGTCTGTGAGGCCGGAGGAAAGTGTCTGACCACAGACATTTTACCACTGCAACTTCAAATTTTTTATCGACTCAAATTGTGTACTATTGCAATGTATAACAGGGCCCGCCAAAAAAGCAACTTGGGAAAGCATCAGTGGAAGTGGCCGGACCAAGCAACATTGAAGAGGTAGTACCAAGAAATGTTGCACCAACCAATTTAGAATGGATGTATAATGATGACTTAAGCTTGAACCTTTCTTTGTTTTAGCCTTTGGGCAATTAAACCGCATGTAATGACTCAATTTTTGTATCATGTCAATCAATGACATTTTGTCACATACTTTGCAATATATATATTCTAAATGTCGCCATTAATTACATATTGTGACAATGTATGAATCAACACAAAATCCACAAATTCACAATGCTAAAAAGAGTTAAATATTGGAATGTTCACATCCAACATACGACCATCATATACTGCAAAACCAGAAGTTGATATACATATGTTTGGTTTAGGGATTACATCAAAACATAAGCATATATATAACTACTTCGGGCATATGATGGACAAATTGTTGCAACAAAAAATAAGTACTTTGGTTTAAGTGTTTTTTCCCATCATTCACAAGGACAAAAATATATATATGGACAGCCCTCATACATGCTTGAATCTTCTACGCTTTCTTCCTGAAACCCCATAGGCGTACTGCAACGTTGTTTCGTATGGTGCGGCAGTTGTCGTACTCACACCTGGGTGTTAAGGGGAGGTCGTGCATCAAATGTTCAGCAAACGCCATAACCATAACACCGCATACTCCACTCCTGCACAAAAGTAATAACGAAGTCATATATACATACACGATTCCACCGGTCATCAAACATCATAACCATAAGATTATTTATCTTGGTTTTTTTACCCTATTCCTTGTTGCGGAACCCCATGAACAGCCACTGCCTCCCATGGTCTAAGGTGTAAGGGACGTGGGAGGTCATGTTGAATCTCTTGAAGTAGATAAGGAAGCCTCGAACACAAATCAAATGCATACCACGCACTTCGGGAAGTCTTTAAGGAATCATAAACTTTAACCACGACCTCCTCCAAATTCACCTCACACAATATCCAGTGTTTATTTTCAACATTCAACGGAATTAATACCTGATAATGAATAAAGTATGGGTTGAAGATGTATGTGTAGCATTGCAATAAGAATTTAATTGTATGTGGACAACACAATATAAGTAACAAGTCACACCTTTGACAATCCACGCCAGTCAATGCGTTTCAAGAATCTGTCTTCACTCCAATCTTCTGGCTTGTCAAATCTTTTCTTCTTCAATTGATTCTGCATTTAGGCAATGATAGACACAAATTGCTTTAATACTAATGGGAGACACTTACACTCCATAACATGTGGATGTTAGAGATTACCACGAAAAAAATGGAGATTATTTCACATTTTGACCCTCAATTTTGTGGCTCATCAACAAGTTGGTTAGGGCATCAATGTGCTGCAAGTAATTGGTTAACCTCACGGATTAAAATGTATGTCCAAAAACGTTGCACACAGGCAATTAGTAAAAATTACTTATTAAAAATTACTTTATGCATATAAACTTACCATACTGCTCAGCCATTCCTGTGGGGCTATCAGGTCACAGAAGAACTTTCTATCAACAGACATATAGATTGGCATGTCTAACATCACACACACCGGTTCCTCAGTAGCAGGGGCTTCTGCCCAAGTCTTGAGCTCATTCAAGACTTTATCTTCTTCCGGAATTTCAGTTTCGCTTCCAAGTTCACTCGGCTTCACCCGCTTAGCACACGGATCCATAAAGGGACTGCTATGATACTTTGAGACGAACCTCTTTCTTTTTTTCCTTTCATATATGGCAGGTTGGGCTTTGGTTATTGCAACATCTTCTTCAAGAACATCCTGCCATTGGACATTTTTAAAAGGCGTTGAAGTAGTGACTGATGCATCCAAGAATGCCACATCCTACGAAATTGAAATAAATAATGTGTTTAGATATGTGCACAAACCAGGAACACTATTGATATTGACACACGAATTTTAATGTAAAGATAGTGGTAAAACTTAACCTTAGGAAGGGATTCTGCACAATCTCCTAAGACCAGATCCACATCCTCTAACTGCAAAACAAGAAAAATGTTAGGAAATATGAATGACTGGTAAAAAGAAGATGTATGTCAATGTTGAGGCACTAACTTCTTCCAAAATACAAGTAATGAGGGTTTCTTTAGGCAATGCAGGAACACTGGGATGAACATCTTCAACATCCTTCTCATTGAAAAACAAATACATGTAAGTACAAACACATTCATTAATGGGGGTGGTTATGCACACACAATTTGGGAAGTGTACCTTTTCGGCCATGCCGACAAGCGGCGTTTGTGGGTCACTACCCTGATCATCTTCATTTGACTCATGCTTCAAACACACAATGTGAATAGTCTAAATATAAATAAATAAATCAAAGATAATAATAAATGAGGGGTATAAATAAATAAGATAAACCTCGCTTCCCTCATTGTCTGCAGTTACCACGACCGGACTACAATGCTCGTGTGGGTTATTTTCTGCCTCAACCTGTAAACCACGAATTGCGGTAATTGATATTGGTTTGACTGACATATACATATGCGTATACTTACATTTACAGGTTACTTCACAGACACATGAAGTGAGGTGCATACAAAAATTCCAATCATACCTTGTCTTCAGTTACCACGGCCGGAGTGCCATGCTCTCTTTCCTCAGTCTCTTCAATTGAATCATGCTGCAAATTAGGCTCTCCACTGTGGACTAAATCCTCCTCCTCAGGCTGTAAAGCACAAACACGTCTAACTGTTAATACTTTGACAGACATTAAGAACAAAGTACACAGACATTTACATATGTGTATACCTACATTTAGAGCTTACTTCACAGACAAATGAGTGAGGTGCACAAAAATAAGGCAATCATACCTTCGCTTTAGTTACCACGGCCGGAGTGCCATGCTCGCTTTCCTCACTCTCTTCAATGGAATCATGCTGCAAATTAGGCTCCTCCTCAGCCTGTAAAGCACAAACACGTCTAACTGTTAATACTTTGACAGACATTAAGAACAAAGTACACAGACATTTACATATGTGCCTACACACATAAGGCAATGATACCATATTTTCCATGCGCACATCCGCCACGTCATGGTCAGTACAGTGGTTAGCTTCAACATCATCACGCTTGCCATTATCCTTCTCAGCACTGACCACTTCCTGTTTCGTAAGCACATTAAAATAGATGTACTACACAGACAATAAAATCGATGCACACAGACAACTACATTAATGTTCACAGACAATAACATATACAATAAACTTGTAATCTTACCTGCTCTTGTGTGGGAACATTCCCATGCAGAACCACCCCCATCACCTTAGATAACATGTCTTTGACCTCAACCAGTGTGGCCTCAATGCCTCTAACACTTGTCCTCAACTGCTGAATTTCATCCTGTGTTTTTGCAAGTTGTTCCAACACCTTCAATTTGCGAAGAAGTTTGACATCCTCATCTTCTAGTCCATCTTCTTCGCCATCAACTTCTTCCCCAACATCTTCTTCTTCATCACCATCCTCGTCATCATCCTACGGACCAAGTCAAGTAATTAGATTACAAATTGTGATATTAGTTCATGCGTATTATTAAAAAATATAATTAACAACTTCTTACGGTTTCTTCTAAAGGCTCTTCCTTAAAAACTAGTTCCTTCAAAGTAGTACAGTGAAAAAACCCTGTAGCTTTCCAGTTGAAAAGACTAGCTTCTTCAGATTTGAATTTGGTGCCACATCTTGAAGCAAGCCCAGGGATTTTCTCATACGCCCAAACCTGAATACACAACCAAAAAAATTGTTAATGAGATGTCTGCCCACAAATTAAACAGATTGTCACACAGACGTTTTAAGCAATTATCAAACAATGTACAAACGAACCTGCAAGACATGGGGTAAGGCCCAAAGAGTGAACTTACAGTTCTTGTACTTCGGGTTCTTAGCTACAGCAGCCTCATACTTCTCCGGTTGATCACGCATCAACGACTTCATATTGGACACCATTAGGTTATAAGATTCAAGGGCCCAAGGATATTTTTTGAAGTTCTCAAAGTCTTCCACCTAGTCAAGATGATTGGAATTGATCTTTGTGTCGTGGTTTCTAGCTAGCAACATACAATCTACCACAAAAAGTGAAGCCAACTTCACAACTGCTAAGGAGTCAACCCTCCTCTTCGGATTTAATGCCGCCATTGTTTCCTTCAGTTCGTCGTACGTGACACGCTTCTGTCCTTTAAAGAATAACTTAGCCACACTACCTTTGTCACTGTTTTTCACAAAACGGGGTCTGGTTGTGTATGCCGGAAGATGAGTAATAGCACAAAAATCTTGAAAAGTGAACTTAAAGATTTTCCCTCGTATAGAAAACCAAAGCTCATCCACAGGTTGTCTCCGAACCATCCGCAACAACAACATATGGACAATCTGCCCTGAAAATTGGAGTTCTGGAATTTCAGCCAAATGTCCCCACGGAAGGTTCTTAAAATTTTGCAGTTCACTCTCTGGTATAGAAGCCAAGTTTTTATATTTCCCAAAAGATGAGCACAAAGAATATTGCCCCGGGAAGTGGGACTCAACCGGAACCACCAGTTCATGCTTCTTCCTACGAATTACACAAAAGAACTCGTTCATGTACATACTAAATCAGTTACAACTACTTCAATTGTAAATACCACACAATGCAGCGTCCCTAAGATGTTCAAAATCCTACAACATGGTCACTTAACAACCCCAAACCCCTCCTGTATAGTGCACTGTCATTCTAATTTTATCACTAACGTTAATTAAGTGTCAACCTCAAAAATACCATACACATTTCAAAAAATTATTAATTATCAATGAAGACAGACAACACTCACAAACTACAGACAATTCAAGTCACACGTAAATATATAAAACTACTTCCATGAAAATCAATTGAACAAGGTTAACCGTATGCCCACAGACATTATACTTCCATCACCCAAACAAAATCAAATTCTTACAACCCGGCCCCTTAAGGTTCCCACACCACCATTTACAGTGTTTCTCACTTCATCAAACTCTAATTTTCAACTTTCGCCTTCGAAATCTCATATTGATTTTTTTTAAAAAAATACAACTTACACATGCCACAATAGGGGGTGAAATTCAACAATACTACTCACAAATATGTTCAAGAAGAGGATATTACCGTTTTTTTGAAGACTCAACAAGAGATGACAGTGAAGTACGAACCATCGCGCCGGCTTCTTCTGGTGGAAACTGGCCGCTACAGACGGCTTCGAGGTTGCCGCTTGGAGACGAAGACAGTGAGGCGCTTCGACAAAGAAGAGAAAGGAAGACAGACGCAGCGGTGCTAGACGAAGAGGATGAATGGCGAGGGGGATATGCGCAGAAATCGAAAAAAAAATCGAAGAGAAAGGAAGTGGAGAGTGGAGGGTGGAGAGGCGGGAGAAATGGGGAAGATGTTCGCACGTGTGGGAGAGAGGTGGGGAAGGGGGTAAAAAATATGAAAATATTTTGTTTTGCCCTTTTATATGGTGTACATCTTGTACATCAGATGTACACATAGCATTTTCGTAATTTAAATATTTAATGTGATATACGGGAAGTACAAATTGAGAAACAGACGCGAAGGTATTACCAGTATAAAATTGGCATTTGACTGATATTATTATTTCAGAAATCTAATTACCACCAACTCATCAAAAACCCCAAACCGATTTGCATTGACCCTCTTTCTTCCTATCTCAGATCTTCCCCTCTCTGTCTATCTCCCAATCTTGCATTAATACCTTTCTCCGTGTAGATTAGGGTTTTATTTGATTGCTTTGCTGAATGATCCAACAAAAAAAAAAAACCAAAAAAAGAAGAAACAAATGCTCTTCAATTTTCTGCTCAGGCAATTAATTGGGGTCGCGATCTCTAAAATCAATATACTAACTCCTTCAGATTTCCAAATTTGCATCAGTGCGTGACTTTTTCTCTTGTTGTTGTCAAGAAGAAAAACATACCTATGACGGTGGGCTCTGAGAGCTCAGCTGAGACCTCTCCTGCATCAACTGATGCGCCGCCGCTGAAGAAATTCGGAGTAACAAGGCCTTTGTCTCTGAGTGGGCCATCCGAGGCAGATCTTCATAGAAACGCAGCACTCGAAAAGGTGTTTTTTTTTCGTAAATCTACTTGCTTTTATTCTCGACTGGTTTATTTTTTCGAGAAGTTACATTCTTTTGGGGAAGATGAAGTTTTCTATCCAAATTGGGGATTGAATTTGAATTAACTTTGTTGACTTTCGATTTGAAGTTTCTGAGGGATTCAGAGCTGTACGAGAGTGATGAAGAAACTGGAAAGAGAGAGGAGGTGCTGTGCCGACTTGACCAGGTAATGTGCTAAGTTCAACAATTAGTGGTGGTAATCAGACAAGTATGTGCTAATAACTTCTTGTAAGATTAAGCTATAATTTTTAAACTTTTGGTTGTCCATTTAATTCGTGAAGTAGGAAAGCATATATTAGATGTCTTGGAAGGCAGATAATCTCTAGGTGTAGTACTAACATGGAATGGGAAGATTTGTTTTTTGCTCCTTGATTGAAGACTTCAGAGTTTAGACTTACAAGGCTATGGGGACTGAATATGTTTTAGTGGGTTGCAACTTGCAACTCTCTAGGTTAAAACCCAAAGATGATAATGAGAAGCTTGAGCTAAGTCCTGTTTATCTCAACTGTCCAGGGGAAAACACCATCACCTTTTCAATCTATTCAACATAAACCATTTAATGCGAAGTCCTAAATGGCTATTAAGTATCTACCTCAGATTTTCTCATGTGTAGACAGGTGAGAAACCTGTATCGCCACATATTTTTTTAATGAGATATGAAGTGCCAATGCTGCAAACACATGTTTCAAGGTTAGTGCACGTAAGGGGTGTTAGATCTTATGATAGATGCAGCGTAAACACAAACAAGACTAGTAAGATTTGATAACTAACACATGCATAAAAATAATTTGTTCATAATATTATTTCCATTTCAGAATATGAGACTTGACCTAGTATGAAGTTGACTCTCTCCACATAGTCTTTAAATTGGTGTTACTGATTGGAGTTTGCATACTTTGAAATCACACAAGAAGTTTCACTGAACTGCAAAGGACGGATTTGAATATAGATAAAGAATATCGTGATGAAGTAAAGTTAAAACTTTTATGAATATTGAAAAGTCGTTATTCATAGAAGAGAAAATTTCTTAAATATGGCTAAAACATAGAAAAATGTTCAAATAGGACCACCCATATTTTCCCCTAAAATAGTATTCATTCACTCCTAATTGGGGAAGGCTTTACACTTTTAATAGGATCAAGTAAGTCCCATATTGGGAATAAATTATAAGTATTCCTTTTGGTTGTATGTGCACTTTCTCTATGTTTTAGTCCTAATAAGAGCAATTTCTTTTCATACAAGGCTTGAAAAGACGGTTTTAAGTCTTGAGATGCTATGAAGTGTAATTGCATAAGCATAAGCCTTAAAACTATAAGCTCTTAAAAACTGAAATCACAAATATGTGACACATGATATTTAAGAAAACAAAAGTCATAAGCTACTTAGACACAAAATAATGTTAAGACTTTGGGTAACCAAGAAGCTAAAGAACGTTCACAACACTATAACTCTTGGCTTTTGGTGGGCTTTAAGCTTGCTGACTAATGATAAAAATGCCGAATATGTCTTTCAAATGTAAACTATAATCCCAAGACACGATTTTTTTTTTTTTTTGAATTTGAGGCTGTAAGTCTTAGAACAAGCGCCTTGAGGTGTGTGGGCCACAAGTCTCAATCCAATTACCCGAGGCTTAAGCTCAACGAGTCAACAAGTTGTTGTACTGCCTCAAACTCGAGACTCGTCATTTGAAACGATGATTTCATAAGATCTTAGTTTTACAACAAAGTAATAATTCATGTTTAAGCTAAAATGTATAAGAAAACAGCAAACTCTACACTTCTAGCAAATTATTCAATCATTTTTTTTAATCATAGTAAGCATCTTCACCAGTTAGTAGTCTTAAGTAATTTTTCTTCATGTGAAAAATCTTCATTTTCGTCATTATTCATGGCATCTTCACCTATAAGATAATCTAAATCTCAAATATCTAAACCATCTAAAGATGCCAAACAAACACCATAATTCACATAATTTCCCATGGGATACAAATCTTTGTTTGAAATATCCGAATTTGAGTAATCATTATTGTATGCAATCCTGTTATCTTCAAAATCAAGGTCATTCTTACCATTTACTATTGCTTACCTGACTTCCTTTTCTTGCCAAACTTTGGATTTGCCAATAATACAGATCACACATGTATCTCTTCTGTGTGGAACAATTTATTGTCTTGGTGCTTACCCCTTAAAAACAATAACAAACGTAGTATCACATAATTACATGATTGTCACCAACCAACTTTAAGAATAAGATCCACTATAATTTTGAAAGTTAACATTTTCACCCTGTCTAACACATTCCTTTTCCTTTCACATTACGAAAAACTGCATATCATGTTTAAGATACAGAAAGCAAATTTTTGCAATTCTTGGCACTCACTGCCACAAAATCTCCATTAATGGAGTTTTATTGGTTTCATCTGATATGATTTTTTCCCATCAAACTGCCCAAAAAGTCCAGTTCACTTTAAAAAGCTTTAAGGTGAAAACTGAAAAACAATCCTTCCACTATGTAAGGATTATAATGCAAACAGGGTTAAGGTAAAAATTGACTGCTTGCAAAGACATATATTTGGCTGTCCGGCCGCTGTCCTATATTTGATCAACGATTTCCTATATTGTACAACGTTGAATAACAATTTACCTTTCCTTAACACCATTGGAGGCATTTTGTGCGATTTCTTCAGAAGTGCATCTCATCATGGATGGACCACATTTCTTGCATACTATCAGAATCTACTTAGGGAGTGTTTGCTAAAGATTAAAATAAGTGCTTTTCAGCTTTTGGCTTAAAAAAAGCTGAAATGAGTGTTTTCAAATGACAACTTCTGCTTAAATTAATTAATCACTCAAAAGCTAAAAGCTGGAAGCAGATTGAGAGGTGCTTTAAACTGCTTTTCACTTTTTCTATTACACAAAAAGCACTTATTCTATCAAACACTACCAACTTTTACTTTTTTCATAATCACTTATTTCTCAAACACTACCAACTTTTACTATTAATCACTTTTCCCAAAATCACTTTAAAAAATCACTTTATTAAAGTTGAAGCAATCGCAAACACTCCCTTAACGAAGTGCTTCACTAACGGACAATACGCCTCAAGGAAATCCCATGGTTTCTAAAACTCTTTATGCACTATATATTTGACAAACTTCACATCCTTACTATTTGCAACCTGATCATATTTCCATGCTTTAGATGTGAACATGATTACTACTTACTAGGCTCTGTTGTCATTCAAACAACCCAAAGTTAATGAGGTAGCCGGTCTTACCAAGGTGTCTCTTTTGGTAAAGTGATGCAATAAAGAAAAAGGAGCATCTTGTACTTAATGTAGGTTGTAATTCTCAACAAGCTTATCAGCCCCACATCTTACTATGTGTGATGGTGAGTCTATATGTCAATTTAGGAAATTTCTATAGTCCTGTTTGGAACTCTCACTCCATCCTGGATTATCCGGAAACAGTCTGTTTGTGCTTTCGTATAGGGGTAAGGCTGCGTACATCATACCCCCCCTTACCCCACCGTAGGTGGGATCCTTTGCGGCACTGTGGTAATGTTGTGGTTGTTGTACTTGGGAAGTATCCTATTCTTAGGAAAAGGAAATAGGAAGTAGAGTAACCCGCTTATCCCTCTTTGCTATTCTCTTGCTTGATGACGTCAAATATACATTTGGCAGTAATACAATGACCTATTTTCTTGTCACTCACCCTTCTGAATTGAATTATGTGTTTCAGATTGTGAAGCTCTGGGTAAAGCAATTGACCCGCCAGCGAGGTTACTCTGATCAAATGGTGGAAGATGCAAATGCTATTATATTAACTTTTGGCTCCTATCAGTTAGGTGTAAGTAAATCTTTTTGTTATTTTATGTGCGTTATAATTTAGGACACAAGGTTTATTGTGTCAAGGTTTTATTTTTTTGTTTTTATAAAATATAAAATTTGCAAATTATCTGGCTCTTAATTTAATGCATAGTTTTTTATTCTCTGGATTGAGTTATAGATGCTCAAATCTTCTTGTAAAATCTATTTGTTTGTTGTCTCTTCACTAGACAGCCCCTGTGGTCAGATGAACGTTTGCATGCCATTAAATCATAAACTTCAACAAGGATAGTTTGTGTCAAACGCATGATACTATATGAGTAGCTCGCTATTTTTTGTCCCATGACACTGTTTTTGCATTTTGGATTTTAACTATTTTCAATGTTATGAAACATCCATTAAAAACTGCATTGTAGGCTTGTAGCTTATTATTCTCAGTGTTCGTAATAGCGTAATTCCTGATCTTATGAATGATCAGTCGGGGAGTGTTTGACAATGATTGATAAAATAGCTTAAAGGAAATGGTGGATGGAGACACATAATGGGCTGTCCGTCTTTATATGTTAATTATTTGAATTTAATAGGACAATGTATTAATCTGAATTGGCAGTCTTGAATGAATTGTCCCAACTCCTAAGTCTCAAAGGCTCTTACCTAGCTATGAACTCAAGGAAGCTAATTTAGCATGAACAATGGCATCAGAAATTTGAAAGTAGACCCACTTAATTAGATTTTGGAAATAAAGGACTACAAACAAAAATGACAGATGACCTAAAAAAATGAATGCTGTTGCAGGTTCCTTAAATAGTCAAATTTGAATTAGTTTGAAATGTCATGAAATATTATTGATTTTTTTTGTTAGTCTCTTGACCCCCCCCCCCCCCCTTCCCCCAAGGCTCAGCAGCATTATGATATGAAGAAACACTTACTGATATTCAAAACAATAGTTATGCGCTTTAGCTATTCCACGGCAAGATTTCGATTATTAGCCTGGTCTTTGTACTTAAGTTCTTCCTCTTGGAGAATCTATTAACATTTCTTTATAGCATTGTTGTTGGATAAGGTATAAGATACTGCCTTTTAGGCACGCGTTAGGATGTTGATTCCGATAAATAATAAAATAGCATGACTTCAAAGATTCATATAATTTGTGCTCGACTACTTCATGGGCAATATTGGCGAATCCCATATGCTGAAGCAAGTAATCCAAGCAGTGGTATGTAGCTTTGCTAGATTGCAAATCTCATATAGTACTCCAACCGGTGCCCGGTGGTATGTAGCTTTAATAGCTTGGTGAATATGAAATTGGAAATTAGGCGATGGATGTTTCACATCATAGCTTTTACTGCAAAACATGGCTGTAAGGAATAAATAGATCCTAATTAGGCATCAATGTTTGAAGCAATAAGTTAATTGGGTTTTGGTTCATTACGACTATGAGTATGACAAATCCTGGACTTAGGCCACTGAAATTTATGTTATATTATACTATCTATTAACCTAAGGCTGCAGTTCACTGCATTTACCACATTCAATTCTTCAGACAGCAAAAGATTGAAATTAAGCAAGTACTCCAATCAGTTTTACACTTTTACTAGGTTTTTGTATATGACTTGGTAATTAGGCTATTTGTTGTTTCATATCTTAGCTTTTAGCCTTCTAGTGCACAATATATGCCTGGAAAGTGTGGTTTGCGCTGCGTGGGTATCAAAGTTTCATGTAACATGTTATCTGTGTTAGTGGGGTTTTAAACTTTTAATTCATTACGACTATGTTTATGAGAAAATGATGACCATATCCTACCCAAATTTCTATATTTTAGTATATTAACATATAGCTCTAATTTGCGGTTATGAAATTCAATTGTTCTAATGGTAAGAACTTGAAGTTTCTCTTAGCACATTATGTGTCCACAAGTGATATTTCTTGTAGGTTCATGGACCTGGAGCTGATATTGACACATTATGCATTGGGCCATCTTATATTAGTCGAGACGTGAGTTTTTAGTAGTGGATGAGATATGCTTAATTTGGTACTGTTAGTCCTTTAACCATTTAACCATTTAAAGAGTTACACTTAGGTGCATGTTCTTTCTGCAGGAAGATTTTTTCATTATTCTGCGAGATATTTTAGTTGAAATGGAAGAAGTTACTGAACTTCAACCTGTTCCTGAGGCTCATGTTCCTGTTATGAAATTCAAATTTCAAGGAACATCAATTGACCTCCTATATGCAAGCATTTCCCAAATAGTCGTCCCACAAGTAAGCTTTAATGAATCTACATCTTTTTGCCTTTTTGAACCCCTGGCTTCACTGTTACTTAAACAAGATTGCAAAGATATTTTTTTGTTTTGTTTCCAGTCTTAATTTTGTCTCATCCTCTGACCCAGTAGTTACCGATTAACAATAACTACGTAGCTCTACATAAGGGATCATTTTTTAGTGCGTTAAAAGAATCTGAAGTATAAAAGACTTGTACATCGGTGATCAAAATATCAAAATGTATATTCAGTGAGGCTGCATTACAATGAAGCAACCTCTATTGCTCTATGTACTCATGTAGGATTAGCTATGTCATGCAAAACATAGGTTATGGCTCTTAGTTTATTAGTCTTGAAGAGTTAATACATCTCCATTTTAAATGTTTTGACCAATTTTGTTAGTTTTTCTCAACATTGCCTAAAGGGTGGATTCTGAATTTCTTTCTCTAACACTTAGGCATTTCTTTTATAAATAAGTGTAATTGGAGCATTTTCAGTTGAACTACGAGCTCTGAAAAATTAAATAAATAATAAAAGAACTCAATTGGATTTGTTGAATCTCGAGAAAATTTGATGTCAATTTGTCAGATATTAACATGATGTCTATATAAAGGCACTAAATATAAATTGAACGTTACTACTTAATACCCTTTTTATGTCTTCACTATGTCAACAGGATTTTGACATCTCTGACCGTTCTGTGCTGTACAATGTTGATGAGCCAACAGTCCGAAGCCTCAATGGGTGTAGGGTTGCGGATCAGATTCTGAAACTAGTTCCCAATGCTGAGGTAGCATAGGTTTCTGAATCATCATGACTTTGATTATTATTGATCTCAACCTTATTTATTATTTATACTGTTTAAAGCACTTCCGGACGACACTTAGATGCTTGAAATTTTGGGCAAAAAGGCGTGGCGTCTACTCAAACGTAAGTTGACCCCCACCCTATCAGACCTCTTCCTGGGATGGTTAAATCTACATTTATATTTTGTTTGGTGTGTCTCTCGAATAGGTCACTGGATTTCTTGGTGGTGTGAATTGGGCTCTTTTAGTTGCTCGTGTTTGCCAGTTTTATCCCAATGCAGTCCCTAGTATGCTGGTTTCACGATTCTTTAGAGTTTATACACAGTGGCGCTGGCCGAATCCGGTTATGCTATGCCCTATTGAGGAAGATGAACTTGGATTTCTTGTTTGGGATCCTCGCAAGAATCCTAAAGATCGAACTCATCATATGCCAATAATTACCCCTGCATACCCTTGCATGAATTCTAGTTACAATGTTTCACCAAGTACCCTTCGTGTTATGATGGACCAATTTGAATTTGGTAACAAGATTTGTGAGGTAAAACTCCCAAGTTATATTGTTATGTTATGGCATTCATCTCCTTTGTCTGTCTACTGCAATGTGTGATTATGTTTTCTTGTTTATTTCTACATCCAGGAGATTGAGTTGAACAAGTCGCAATGGGTATCTCTTTTTGAGCCTTATTTTTTCTTTGAGGTGTACAAAAACTATCTTCAGGTTGACATTATTGCAGCAGACAATTATGATTTACTGGCATGGAAAGGATGGGTTGAATCACGTCTCAGGCAACTAACACTTAAGGTGAAAAAAATGTCTTTATAAATATGACCGTGGTGATGAAAAGTTCTCTCCTTTTCATCCTTCACCTCGGACCCCTTTTTCCCAAGTGGATGCTTATTTTCTAGCTTCATGTCTTCTCTGTAGATTGAGCGTGACACAAATGGGATGTTGCAATGCCATCCTTACCCAAATGAATTTGTGGATACATCTAAGCCTTGCCCACATTGTGCATTTTTCATGGGCCTTCAGAGGAAAGAAGGAGTGCAAGTGCAGGAAGGGCAGCAGTTTGATATTCGTGGAACTGTTGATGAGTTCAAACAAGACATAAGCATGTATTCTTATTGGAGACCAGGGATGGATATATTTGTCTCTCATGTACGTAGAAAGCAAATTCCTGTTTATGTCTTTCCTGAAGGGTATAAGAGACAACGACTGCCCAGGACCCCACAACACTGTACTACACCCACTCCTGAGAAGGAAATCAAAGACTGCATGTCTTCTGAAGACAGGCTTCCCAAAAGGAAGCACAATAACGAAATGAATGATGTGCAATCTAACAAACTTGGGAAGCAAATGTCTGTTAGTCCACAGCGGATAGGCTCAGATTCTCCTGCTTCTGCTGGATTATCTCCAATGTTGGACATTTGCAAGGAGTCACAACTGGAGCATATGAGCACTGTTGATGTATTGAGAAGTGGGTTGTCTGGTAGTTTAAATGGACAATTTGAGAACACGGGTGCATGGGTTTGTGCCGAGAGTGTACTGTCATATTCCAAGATCTGTATCAATAGTGAGGTTAGTTCCTAGTTGTTTAGTTCAGGATCATCATCTGAGCATGACCGTGACCATTTATGGGGTCCATGTAATCAATTGTGCATATATCTCTTTATCATGCTCAATGTCAAGCCTCTCAGTTTGGGAGAGTATCCGAATCTGTTAGGATAGAGCGAACTCTTCACTGCTATAACTTTGATCTTCAGAAATTAGAATACTCTCATCACATTATGAGAGGATTCAGATCCATTATGAGGGAACTTGCCATGGATATAACTTCACAGTTTCATAACCTCTAAATACAATTACAGTGCTTCTATGTAATAATAATTGGCCTCAGCCCAATATGATTAAAAAGCATTCATGTTCCCACAGCTACTTAGTATAATTATTATATTTTAATATTGTAATACAATTCTATATTTAACACATTAAAATATGCTCTAAGCTTGAAGAAATCTGAAAAGCTGGAAGAAGGGTTTTCTTTTTTCTCAATTTGTGAAATTTGTGAAGCAAACTTGTTTACTGTTTTCAAATTTTGAAAAGCAGAAAAGTAAAGAAGTTTTTTGTTTCCATTGTTTGAATTCCAAAAACAGAAAACTTTGCCAGCTAGTGAATAGTTTTCTAATATTTTAAAATTAGGTTTTACTGTATATCATTACTTTTGCAGTTTAAGATATTTCTATATGTTATTTCTAAAACTAGGACTTGTTGAATATCTGCACTTATATATTTGAATATGCTTTTCTGTATTACAATAGTGAGTAATAAAGGGGTACTTGCAGGGTAATGTAAGCTTAGGGGAGCAAATTGCACAGCCAGGGGATGAATGTCTAGATGAAAGCGGAGTACTGGGGAGTGCCTTGCCTGATAAACCGAAATTGCAGGTGAAGTATAGAAGTTTTTGTTTCCTTTCAATGAATACATCACCATCCTTGTACTTCTGTAAACCAAAACTTTTTTGTCATTATGTGCTTTTCCATGTCAGTTTTCATTCACATCTTCTTTTTGTTAGGATCTTTCTGACTACTGAAGAGCTGGAATGTTGTTGATATAATTCAGGATATTCTTGAAGTTGGGTTCTTAAAATTTGTAAGCATATGGCAAGCCTTATGCAGATCTTGCAAAATACAAGAGCAGCTTGTATTGGTTAATTCATCTGGTTTTAAGTATCATATTATTTCATTCAAGATGAAAAAAGTTCCATTATTTTTGAAAGGATGCAAGTTTTACAGGCGGTTGATTTCAAGCCTTAAGGGGTCTAGACGTAACGATAGCTTGATATTTATAATTCTTTATTCTCTTTAGTTTACTACTCATAAAGACACTAAATTCTTCATGTATGGGTGTAGTTATAGCTGGTTTTCAATTCCGATGTCTGAGATTCAAATAAAGAACACTCACAAGCTAAGAGGTTTATTTCTAATTATCCACTTAATCCTGTTTGTTGTTTTCTGCCGTGTAGCCAAACATTGCACCCACAAGGGTAATTGGGTCATCAAGAGACAATGCAAGCCCAGAAACTGCACAGGAGCCAGCGATAAGGCATGCCTTTGTTCAAGAACCCCTTTTTATGATTTAAAATATGCTAAAGTTATTTTTATACTTTCTTGCTTGTATTTTTCTCCGTCTCCTCTGTAGCAGGTTGAGTCTGGAATCAACTGCGTGAGGGAGTGGCGATAATGTTCGTTAACAAAGTTCGTGAGGGCATCCAATGGAAAAGTTTTCTTTATTTGGATATGTTGATGAAGACTTCTCTCTTGTACCTTTCTTTGCAAGTTCTGGTTGGAAGCAGGGGCTAAGAAGTTCTGCAAGAATGGAAACTTGTGCATTTTGTACAATGGAACTGACAGTGCCTTAGTTGGTGGGAGGTTTGATCTGTGTGGTTCTACCTGTTGGCTTATCATCAAAAAAGGAGCAAAACAAGAAAAAGGAAAAAGAAAAAGCAATGGCACAATTGTGTAGGAAATTTGAAAATTTTCGTTTTAGTACTCTTTGGGGTTGGGAGTGGGCTGGCTTTAACTGGGTTGTAGTGCTTTAGCAATGGTTCATGAGACTTATTGCCTTTTATGTATAACTTTCTTCTTTGTGATCATATATATTAACATATAGCTAGACCTCTAACTACCTTTACGGCTCTACTAATGCTATGTTTGGTAACGAAACCAATTTTAAACTAATGGCCAATTGAAAGACTGGATTTCCCATCATAATTTGAGTCGACTCATGCCGGTGTTGGTACTTGCCTACTTAGTAAGTTAGTATGAGATCAAATTGTTCAGAATATTTCTCTTACCACTTTAACAGTCATCATAAAATCGTACATGAACTTTCTCATGGTTTCTTGATTTCCACATTTCCTTTGATTAGTTATACTCCGTATTCTTATTTTTATCACTTATCAGGCTGTAGTGATATTTATCTATATGATTTTTAGAATAAATAACCCGTTTCCAAAATGATCACATTGGAGACACATAAAGTACATCTTGTGGGAAATTGTACATATTAGAATTGTGGCACATTCTATTATTAGACACGATTACACGAAATAGATCATGTTCAACTCGTACTGCTAATAATCTCTTAGGAGTAAAGTTCGTTTTAGTAACACACATCATTCTGCTTTTCAGAGAGTTGAATCAACTACTTGCCCAATAAAAAAAATGGTAGAATTTTGAATACTGAATGAATAATCAGCCATTCCAAAACTTGGATGCCGGTCAAATTGATACCCATTACATGTGTGCTCTCCTGGCATTTCTACCATTTGAGTCCTTCCCTCGCACTAGGGGAAGAAGGTAAAGGCTTATCCTAATGGGGAGAACGGATTCAAGGAACTTGCAGGAAGGTATGACTAATAAAGTACCAAGTGTGGTGAAGATCAGAACAATAGTAAGACTAAAGCTGTGGTTGTCTTGAACGAGATACTAATGGGGGGGGGGGGGGGGAGATGAAGTGAGGGCAGAGCTAGAAGCTAACAATGAGGTTACATCGAATGATGAAAGAGTGGTTGAAATCCAAGATACACAAAACGTGTTTGATAAAAGATCAGAGTCAAATAGGAATGTGGGGACTAAGCTCCTCTTAGAGTGTCTATTGCTTAGTACCCCTTTTAGTTGAGAAAATCTCAGGGTATGTGACTAGATGGAAATCCAAACCCATGTCATACGTTGGGAGATTAGAACATATTAAATCTGTTATCAGTTATCCGAGGAGTGCACTCGTTCTGGTTGCAAGCCTTCTTGGCGCCGGCTACGGTTATTCCTAGGATTAACTCCACTTGTAGGAAATTTCTTTGGGATGGGATAAGAGTTATGATTGCTTGGTGTTACATCTGCAAACCCAAAACGGAAGGGGGTTGGAATGCTGGCCTACTATCTAAGACCCTATGAAATATTCAAAAACAAAATTGGATTTACTTGATATACATTTCTATTTGGGAGTGGTCTCCCAGTGGAAGTGCTCCCCCCTTGCTCAATAAATTGGCCTGGGTCAAAGATTCTCTTCTAGACTCTAGATGAGTTTTATCTGGAAGAATTACACCCCCATGTTTTTTCTTCTACCTTATGGGTGTGTTTTAGAAATAGGTTACCAAATACCAATTGCAGGTAATCTCTGGTTTGTTGAAGGGCTTGGTGCTTGCAATAGGTGTACAAGTATTGCTAAATGGTTGAGCATTTTTTTTGTGTACTGATAGTGAGTATATCTGGACTGTTTGGAGGGATTAAAGTCAATGCTGATGAAGTGATTACACAAATCAAGATGATTTTGTATAGTTTATACCCATCATAGATTATTACTTTATGATCCTAACTGCGGGTGTTCTATTTTGGGCATGAGAAGTTCGGTTGGCTGTATTTTGTTCCCCCTTTTTGTTGCAGCAGGTTGGGTGCTTTTTTGGTTCTCTGCAATGTTTTTTTTTGTTGTGGTTGAGCCTTGGAACTCTTTGTTTTGTGAGGTTGTTTGTGCATAGTGTTTTTTGTTTTCTTATCTGGGCATCCCCAGTGCTCTTGTAATCCTTAGTTTTAGGATGTTTTTACTGATCTGGTCTGAACTGATGTGGTTTGGTCTGAGACCGAAATAAGTGAAGTAAGAACCCCCACCAAGCGACCTGTCCGTATATCATCATATCTATGCCGATGCAATGCTGCTGAAAACATGTAACCCTTGCTTTGCCAAAAAACAACCCCCACCATCACCCATCCACTCTGCGATTCAAGATCTAAGGAGCATTATGATTGTCCATATCCCTTTCTTGAAATGAAATTTTATAAGTTCTGGCCCGAGTTTTTGTTGCGTTTTAAGTTCTCGGCATATACCCCTTTGCATCTTTAGTTCGAAGTTTGACTTCATTTTCATCGTTGTTCTTGTTCACGATGTCATTTATAAACTAAAGTGCTACTGACTATAATAATGGGATTTTGGATAACACCCTTAATAGGATTTTGGAACTAAAGGACTACAAAGTAGTAAAGTACAAACAAAAATAGTAATGAATGTGGTTGCAGGTTTCTTAAATAGTCAAATTCGAATTAGTTTGAACTGCCATGAATTTGTTTTGTTAGTCTCTTTCACAGTAGATGAATTCACATACTTGAAGGGAACCATTTTGGGGGAACTCTATGAAATAACCTCGCATGGTTCAGCAGCATTATGGTCTGAAGAAGCACCTCTTGATGTTCAAAACAATAGTTATGCGCTTTCGCTGTTCCATGGTAAGATTTGGACTATTAACCTGGTCATGGTACTCAAGTTCCTATCCTTAATAATCATGCCCTCCGTGTACAGAGAGGGCAATGGATTCTGAGTATTCTGAAGATACTCAGTTTCTCAACATGAAATGAAGATTCTCCTTAAATTTATAATGTTTTGACTGAAGTGATCGATTGAATTGACTTATTATGTTGATTCATGAAAAAATTATTTTAAAAATATATTTTATTATTGCAATAAAGAAAATTATATGAAAATAGCTAAAATGGTCTTCTACAGTAACTTCGTCAATTCCATCAGAAAAGTAACTTCAACCTTACTTATTTTAAATATTACACAATTCAACGCACATAATCAAAAGTCGTGTGTTTGGTGAAAAAGTTAGCTGATTAACCGAAAAATAGGGTCACCAAACGGGCTTTGAAATTGATTGAATCGGCTGATTCTACTTGAATTTGCTAAGTGCTAGTTGAATTGGCTTAATATGCCGAACTATGAAGAAAATATATTCAAAACATATTTTATTAATAAAATAAATAAAAAAATTATATGAAAATAGCTAATATCACCCTCTATAGTAACTTTAGTTAGAAAAGTAACTCTAACCCTACTATTTTTTATTATTACAGAATCCAACGCACGAAATATAAAGTTACGTGTTTGGCAAAAAACTGACCGATAAGACTCAAAAATAAATAAAAACAGGGGTCACAAAATGGGCTCCTAATCTAAATATGATAAACCATGTATTTTCTGTGTAAATAATTTGCATAGAATTTGTGCAAATTTTCATTCTACCGGTTCACTCCAATATTTCTTCCAATCGCGCAACAACCCGGGTTTACCTTGGGGCCTAAGGGACTTGTAATATGATGTGCATTATTATATTTAAAAGTACACCAAACACATAATCTCACTTGAGTTGCTATACTGTGGGAGCGGCCCCATGATGAACATCATACTCCCACAACTAAAACGATATCATTTGATTTAAGTTTTAACTAACAAAACACGGATGAACATTAACTATGATTTTTGTCTAAATATTTTGTGTGATTTAAATCCTTTGTGTGATTTAACTATGATTTAAATACTTCGTGTTGAAAGTCATTACTACAAATGTAATCCCAGTTAGCAGCAAATGTAACTCGAGCACTAGAGTGTAACTCCAGTTACATATACTCCCTCCACTGGTTATTCTCTCACCTATCATATATGAAATATAAGCCGTGTGCGCATGTGTATCCAAAATGTAGCAACTCATCAAAATATAAATCACATTAATTGAAATGTAACTTCGTGTTGAAAGCCGAAATGTAAACCGTGTTAATTGAATGCCACATGAGCAAGTGGAAATGTAAGGAGTATTGGAATTGTAACTTGAGACAAGTTTGAGGAAGAGATCCTGCCCAGCTGGTCTCTTTTAAGGAAGGTTTCATGTTCGAAACTCAATGGAGTGAGTTTCAGCTCTGATTACTCCAGGCCCCCCAGACATCCCTTGGAGTAAAAAAAGATGTAACTTGAGACAAGTCCAAATATAAATGATGTTAATGTAAATGTAATTTGAGGCAAGTAAAAATGTAAATCACGCTGGATGAAAATGTAACATAAGGCAAATAGAAATATAACTTTGAAGAAATGTAATTCAAATACAAATATAAAATTTTATTTTAGATTAATAAACTTTAGTTTTGAATTAATGAAGGGAAAAAATCCCAGATTTATTTTGAAGATGGAGAAAATGACATTGTGGTTTAATTATTAATATTTTGATTGAAAAAGAAAAGAAAGAAGAAGACAAAAACCATATTTTATTTGAAGATGAAGAAAAATAAAATCATGACTAATTCTCAGTATTTTGATGAAGGAGATGCAGATGATTGAAGAAGAAAAGAAAATAAGAAGAAGAAAATCGTGGAAAGAGATGAGCGGAGAGATGAAGAAAAGCTGGCCGAAAACAAGAAAGTCTCAACTGTTTTTAATTAAACAAACGTTGTATCGAAATCAACATACCATGCGCTTCGTATAATGATTCCATTATATAATTTGTGATCTCATTTTCTAGAAATTAGATCGCCCTGGTGTAACCTAACTCGATCTAACCAAAATGAAGCACTCGATTCAAACATTATTCTCTCAATGACAAATTGAATACAAAGAAATTCTAGAATTTCTCTATCATAAATTAATTATTTGTCTCAACCTGAAATTGCAACATAAACTGCCCTAACAAGTTAGGAGTAAAAAATTGCCCTAGCTAATAAGTTACGAGTAAAAACAGTTTAGAATTTTAAATAAGAGCAATTCCTTCTCAAAATAAAAGAAATCTAATTTTTTTTGTATTCAATTTGTCGTTGAGAGAATATAATGTTTAAAATAAGAGAATTTTATACAATTTAGAAGTACTATATTGATATATTTCCTTTTCAAAATAAGAGCAAATCCTGAAATACTTGAAAATATTGTCAAATATGGTATAATTACATACATATATATTAGGGATAACTACCAAATAAGCCCTCGAACTTATACAAAAAATGCAAATCACCCCTTATATAGGAGGCTCTGTCCGGCCGTCGCCATTTGGGGCGGTTTCCGGTGATATTTTTTGATGAGATTTTTTTAGCATCGTCTTTATTAAGTCTAGTTTACGTATACCAAATTTCAGCTAAAAATTCAACCGGGAAGACAGTCAAATGAATTTTTGAAAATAACTGTGCAGTTAAATAGAGCAGTATATTTCAGAAAATCATTTGACTGTCTTCTCAGTAGCATTTTTAGCTGGAATTTGGTATGGATAAACGTGACCTAATGAAGAATATGCTCAAAACAATTCATTAAAAAATTTCACCGGGAACCACTCCAAATGGTGACGGCCGGACAGAGCCTCCTATATAAGGAGTGATTTGCACTTTTTGTGTAAGTTCGAGGGCCTATATGATAGGTTTCCCTATATATATTACTAAGGGTGCAGACTTTTAGTGTGAAAATATGATTTCAAGATGTGGATAATTCTAGGCATGCAAGTAAATCGGCCCATAAGGACTCGACCTGGCCTGCGACAATTGAGGTGGGTCCACCCCGCCCCCTCTTGCAAATGGGGCGGATCTGTCTTGCCCATACAAATATAATGGATCTAGGTAGTAGTATTGACTCGTGTTGCCCAGCCCCGCTCCACTCAATATATTAGTATACAATTGTTTTTAAGATTATACTACAAATTTATATATATGTACATACATGTGTATAATAAATCATAAATTATTTGATATTATAATATATTAATATTTGTTGAAGTTTATTCCTTCAACTCCAAAGGCCCTACATCTTTCTTTGGATTTCGGGTGGAGTATTTAGTGGATTATAACTTCATAAGTGACTAGTAAGCACAAGCAATAAATGGCAAACAAGAAGAAATGTGTAGTAAGTGTGCCGTGTGTTATTCAACGATAATAAGATTTTGTCACAACACACTTCACTACAAGTCCGCTAGGCCGACCGTCTATCTGAGCTGGGAAGAGGGGGGATTATTTCTATTCCTATTGAGTACAAGTTGTCAACCCTTTAAACTGAAATAAATGCTACTATTTATACCACCAAGGGGTAGGTGTTGATGATGTGGAAGATTGTGAGTGGCTAGTTTCCCAACCATCAAACCTACTGCATTAAATGTGGTTCCCGCTAATATCTTGGTTTCCTGCCAATGGGGCCGGACGAGTGTCCTCTTGGGCTTCGATTTTGTACCCCAATGGGTACAAGGACGAGGCTCCGCTTGGCCTAGGCCGATTATTCTCCCTGAGACCCTCTGGATGGATCATTGCCTGGCACCACCGGGCCAAGGACATTGACACCGAGCGTCTTTGTTAGTAAGATGAGCGCCCATCTGACATCTTACCAGACCGTGCCTAAATTGGGACTTGACGGTTTTCCTGCTTGGGGATAATGGGCCACTCCCCTGTCGGACCTATTAACCTAACAATATTTATATTCAATTGAGATGATTAGTTGATTGTCAACTATTCATGTCTCGGTACTTTGTTCTTAATTTTGATATTTTCAAAGTATCGTGACTTTGATTTAATATATTACTACCTTCGTCTCTCTAATATTGGGACATGAGAAGGTGGTGCACTTGTTAAAAACAATGAACTTATGTGATTGCTATTATATTGAATTGATAAAGTAAAAGTAAAGCAAGAATGATTTAGAATCACACAAATTTTACCAAATTTGGTGTGAGACAATCTTAGCGGGATGGATAAAAAAGGAGACATGAGACAATCTTAGCGGAATGAAGTGAGTAATTTTTAGGAAAGATTGAAAATAATTCCCACTCTTACCTTACCCGCTATTAATAATCCTAATAACTCTCGATTATTCTTGGGTTAACCTAACTATAAGCCCGGGTCATCTCAATTCCCATAGCAGTCCCTCGTGACCGGTCACTGGTTGTCCAGATCAAAAAAGGATATTTGTTTATAATAATTCGAACTATGGTTGGTCCATTTTTAGCAGTCCCAATATGATAATTTTTTTTTTGCAAATGATATGAAAATTAGTACTCCATCCTTACCCATTAAATTGTCATACATTCTTTTAGAGAAATATTTTATTACATCACTAGTGGAAAGTACATATTTAATGCGGTAAAATGGAATTTTTAATGTCAGTCATGAACCAAAATTGTATCAAGTTATTCAAAGTGGGATACTTTATCAGTTTTTTGTAATGTGTTTTATTTATGTATTCATAAGTTTGATTACTTCTATCAGTTTTTTACTTTTTATGCTCTATCATAAATTTTCATCGTCATTTCAAGCTGTTTACATTTTCATACATTTTGTTTACAATTTTTATTATATCACTTAAAATTATAACATTAATACCTTTTCATTAAAAATAGTTAAAACCTCCAAAACTTATACCCCAAATTTTTAAAACTTGACGATAAACTATATCCTACTACCTCCGATCCGTAACGTTGAGATCTTCTCACTTTGAAAGCGGGTGAGATTATGAAAAGTGAAAGAAGATATAAGAGGGTATGATGAAAAGATAATGAAATAGTGTGATGGAATGAATGATAAATCCAAAATAAAAAATAGGTGTAATAGGGTATGATGGAAGATTTAAAAAATGAGAAGATTATTTAGTCATGATTGAAAAGGAAAGTGAAAAACTTTTTACCTTACGGAGGGAGGTAGTATAATTTATAGAATATAATAATATAAAATAAAAAATAGAAAGAAATTAAAAATATTGAAATGAAAAAAAAAAGAAATTTAGATTTTTAGAATTAAGATTGCATAAAAATAAAATAAAAAATATTTTTCGCGAAAAATTCTAGCATAAATCTCTAAATCCAATTTTTTCATCATAGTATATGTTTTGAAAATAGAAAATGCAAATTTGAATAAAGGAAAATAATACAAAATCATAAACTGGTAACACAACTGGGAAAAAAGAGAAGAAAATGAAATTTTAGTTAGAATAAATTAAAAATTGACTAAATACATTGTATTTAACCTCGGTACATTTGTAGAATTCCGTAATTATTTTGTACATGTTTAAATGTATTTAGTTTGGAAATATTTTAAAAATATTTTTTCTCTTCCGAAAAACTGGGAGTTGATAATTGGAATCAATGAAAAAGATGAATTATACTTCGTAGTTGAGATTATTTATATCTTACGTTTAAATTTCATTTAAAATTGACCTGCTATATGGGGTTGTAGCCGATTAGGGACTATTTTGAAAATGATGCCTATAGTTGGGACCATCTAAAAAATAATTGATAGTTAAAATTACTAACAGCAGACAAAAAATAATTGAGATTATTATTCGCAACAATTTTTTGAATTTGTATTCAATCCATTGATGAATTCGCATTTTGCTCGACCTTGTCTCACTTTAGATCGATGATCTTTGTCGAAATAAAACTTAAAAAGGTGAAAAAACTACTACCTACAATTTTGTTGCTAATCAAGTTTCCCATCCCCATATCAAGCAGACAAATAGTACATGTAGCAAAACAGCATGCATGGTCAAAATTGATACAAAAAATAATGCTCAGGGAAATATTGTTTGTCATATAATATATATATAATAAACAATGTAAGGAACACTATAAACAAATAATATTGCTATACGTGCACAATGTCCCCTAGCTTCTTCTTGAGATCACCTATAAAAGAACTGCGTGTGGGAACCAATTCCATCACAACTCATAAGCTAGCCATAAAAAAACATACTCCTTATATATATATTTATATTATTCCCTAGCTTAATTAGCTTGGAAACAAGCTAATTATACTATCAAGCCACATAAATATATACATCACCACACTTATAAATATATCTCATAACGTACATACGTAACTACACAGCTATATATACAATCATAAATATGTCTCCTAATTACAATAAAAACAAAATAATACTTGTTACGATTTTCATTACTTCTCTTGGCCTGTTCTTTTCCCAAAGTTGTGTGAGCGCTACCGGCAGCCTCACGTGTAATGGCAAAACTGATGATACTGCCGTAAGTTTTTAATGGAATAATTAATTAATATATACTCATTCCTCTCCCATCTTTGTTTCATTTATCTTTGTTTCAAATACGTTCTCTCCATTACTTCATTTTAGATTGAAATTAATGGAGAGTATTTAACTCCTATTTTGAAGAAAAACGTACTAAATCTCATTTTAAATTAGAAATTTGTCTATATTTTACTTCTATTTTGAGTGAATTCTTTATATAAACCAAATATTTAACATTTGGATGCACGTGTGCGCACAGTCATTACAAAAGGCATGGGCAGCTGCTTGTGCAGCAGGGTCCCCACTGGTGGTACCCGTTGGAATGACCTGCCTTGTCGGTGAGATAACATTGGAAGGGCCATGTGGAAAAGGCTTTGCACTTCAGGTACTTATGCATGTATACATGCGACAATTTATACTAAGATGAGTAAATATGTATGTTTGTTTCAAAATATGATTAATTATTGTCATGTTTTGGTAGTATCAGACTTTAAATACGGAAACATTTTACAACTGACAGTAATTACTCTTATTTGAGGATTAAAAGCACGAGTCTTATTTTGAAATTTTCAAGCGTTTCTCTCCTATTGTGGGAATTTTCCGAGAACTATTATGATTTCTACCTAATACAGGACTTATTCATTCTAATATGATTACTTTAAATAGGACCAAATAAATCATATTTTGAAAATAGGAGTAAGTAGTTTTATGAGAAAATCACCCCCTTGTATGACCATAACATTGCGTATTTCCCAAAATATGACTTATATCTTTTTTTCCCTAATTAAAGAATGCCAAATAGCATGTACCATACCATCAAGTGCTTCATTTTTCTTATTTCATTCCATACATATTTAGTCATATATTGAGAAAGAAACATTCATGGTCATATTTTAGGAATTGACATGAGGTTTACTCATGTATAGGTATTTTTCCCTTGTTTTATTTGTGCACGATGTCTGTTCTGATTCCATTTAGAGCAGTTTCTTAGTCCGTATATGGCATGGTAATTAATACTCCTATATGATGCATGCAGGTAAATGGCGTAATCACTGCTCCGCCTCATGGCTCGTCACTATGGACCGGTAGTCTTCAATGGTTCAATATTAAAGGTGTGGAAGGGTTTACATTGAGTGGTACCGGAGGCTTTGATGGTAATGGAGCAACAGGCTGGTATACTGCGTCAGGGACCAAGCCAACAGTATGCATGCTAATTAATTAATTAATTAAAACTCCCTCCAACCCTAATCCTTATATTTTAGTAACAGTTATATTTTTTACTTGGTACCCGTATATGATAAGTACGTATCGTATTTTGAACAAAATACTAGTGGTAATAGAAAACTTCAAAAAACATTATGGTAGTCGAAGTTTAATGTCATTCACTGGACAAGTCAAAGATGATTAAATATATGTGCAGGCTGTCCGATTTTACGGATCGACCGATGTAACAGTAACTGGAATCCAAATAAAGAACAGCCCTCAGGCGCACCTCAAGTTCAATGGTTGCACCGGTGTCACTGTCAGCAATATTAAAATTACTTCACCTGGGGACAGCCCCAACACAGATGGAATTCACCTACAGAACACCAAGACCGTTACCATTACAGGCACAACTATAGCATGTGGTACGTACGTGCGTGCGTAGATATATAGATGCATACTCGATCATGCACGCATATAATAATTAATCATCATCTGATGCATGTATGTGCATGCATGCATTGCAGGAGACGACTGCGTATCCATACAAACGGGATGCAGCGGTGTCGATATATCGAAGTTGACATGTGGACCTGGTCATGGAGTTAGCATTGGAGGGCTTGGTAAGGGTGGTACTCAAGCATGTGTCTCAAACATCAAAGTTAGTGACAGCACTTTTACAGATACATTAACCGGTGGGAGGATAAAGACATGGCAGGTACGTAATTGATTATGATCGATATATAGTTACCTCTGTCTCGTAGAAAAGCGATAGATGTTCGACTGACCATAAATGATACTTCCTCCGTTCTTAAATAAATGCAACGGTCAACATTTCACATTTGCCGAGGCACAACTTTGACCATTAATATATATAATTCCCGATTAGTAAAAAAAGTTTAAAAAATAGATTTTGAAAATTTATAATGAGAAAATTTTAATAATATATTTTTCAAAAATATATATTATTACATTAATAAATAAAACGTAGTCAAAGTAGAACATGTGAATAGTGCAAAAAGTCCAACGTTGCATTTAAAAGAGAACGGAGGTAGTATGATGGATCTGATGGATGGGCGCATGGATGCAGGGAGGATCAGGATCAGTGAGTGGAGTGTCGTTCACAAACATTAAATGTGTGGGTGTGGAGACGCCAATCATGATTGACCAGTTTTACTGTGACGGTGGGGGATGCAAAAACCAAACAGCAGCGGTGGATGTAACAGATGTAACGTTCCAAGGCTTTACCGGAACATACACAAAACAAGGTATGGAATTAGCTTGCAGCGGGACCGTTCCTTGTGCGGAGGTAAAACTATCTGCCATCTCTCTCACGGCCTCGGGAACAAAGGCTGGCCCTCCGCTCTGTGCAGACGTATATGGAACAGCCGCGGGAACTATTAGCCCACCCATCTCTGGTTGCTTAAAGGCCGGCACCGTAGCAAAAAAGAATGCTAATTCTTGCACATGATCCATGCACGCATCATCTTCCATCCATCCATCCATATGTATAACCTCACATGCATGCATTATATCTGTCTTTAATTATCAACAATCAAAACTAGCTAAATAAGTACGTACACTACGATGTATCCTCACCTAGCTAGCTAGCTACTTTGAAGCTAATTAAGCTAGCTTTTATGTATATTGATAATAATTAAATAAGTTGCATTATTAATTTGCACTTCCTAACTTCCTTGTGCATCTCATCCCCTAATTTTCTCGCCCCTAGAAAAAATTGCTTTTACACACACACACACTCACTCACTCACACTACCTCAATCCCATTTTAGGTAGGCATCTTTTACTTTTCCAATCAAAGATGTTCAACTTTGACCAATTATTTTAATTAATATATTTATGTAAAATTTAATAATTTTATACTTTTATGATAGTATTTTTAACAAAGAACATTTTCATATGGTCAATACTTTCAACAACAACAACATTTTCATATTGTCAATACTTTCTTTATATAAATATATAATGAGGTTTTTACAACAATATTACTAAAATAAAACTTATTTACATAAATATGATTATTCATTACTACAACGTAGTGTTGTAGTAACTTAAGTTCAGAACTTGAACATGAATTACTATGATTTCATTACTACTCTAGTAACTAATCATATTTTTGCAAATCATCTTTATTTTGGTCATATTAATGTAATTATTTCATATATAATTGGTCAAAGTTGGATATCATTGACTTGAAAAGTCAAGTTCTACTAACTAAAATGGGATGGAGGGAGTGTGTTTGTAATAGAGATCAAATACAAACTCTCCTTAATTTACAAACTACAATAAATTAAACATATAAATTTCAGCTCAAAAAATATTTACAAACTACACCTCAAAAAATTTCAGCTAAAATTTCGATCAGGAAGGAAGTCAAATAATTTTTTTGAAAACAATTGCGCTAAATTATACTCCGTACATATAAAACACAGTTATTTTGAAAAATTTATTTGACTGCCTACCCGATCGAATTTTTAGCTGAATTTTTGTGTGGATAAACTAGACTTGATCAAGAACATGCACAAAATATTTCACCAAAAAACTCCACCGCGAACCGCCCCAAATGGCGGCGGCCGGACGGTGCCTCCTGTCCATTCAGATGGGCATGATCTTTTTCCTATATATAATAGAGATCAAATACGAACCCTCCTTAATTTACAAACTACAAACTCATCTTGGTCATCCGATGAGTTGATCTAAAGGGTATAAATGCAATGTGGCATTTTTGTAATAAAAGCCAACTTCTTAGGACGCAACTCTTTGAGCGTTAATATGCAACTGCTATTTAATGACTGAATAATATGCAACACTTTGAACTTAATATGCAATACAAATAACGTAAAGATGCATCGTACAATCGTTTGCACAATAAGCATAGTGTGTGGTGTGTGTGTGTGTGTCTATATAGCATAGTGTGTGGTGTGTATGTGTCTATATATATATATATATATATATATATATATATATATATATATGTATGTATATATATATAGGCCGGGTTGATCGAGATCCCATGCAAACCACGCTTCTGGTGTTAACCTACAAACCAACAACATCTGCTGGATTAAATCATGCGGACGGTTGATGATTATTGAACGTGAAAGTAACGTAATACATATGAAAGAAAGCGAAAAACTGAAAAGGAAAGAAACATTATACATAACTACTTAAATAGATTAGGATGTAATAAATGCAATAAAGGAGACATGAAAATATCCCATTTACCCTTAGAAAGAAAAACCGAAATTTAAACTAAAATTTGATCCAAAGGCTATAGATGATTCTCTTTTCTCTCCTAAGATGTCTTTCTCACTTGATCCTAAATATATATATATATATATATATATATATATATATATATATATATATATATATATAGGGGAAAGATCAAGTACAAAGTGTGCTTATTGTACAAATATTTGTACGATGCACCTTGACGTTATTTGCATTGCATATTGAGGTTCAAAGTATTGCACATCATAAAGTCATAAAAATAACAGTTGCACATTAAGGTGCAACGAGTTGCACCCTAAAAAGTTGGGTTTTATTACAAAAATGCCATCTTGCATTTATGTCCTTTGGATCAACTCATCGGACGGTCAAGATGAGTTTGTACTTTGTAAATTAAGAAGGCTTTGTATTTGATCTCTATTCTATATATATATATATATATATATATATATATATAGAGAGAGAGAGAGAGAGAGAGAGAGAGAGAGAGAGAGAGTGCTCTTCATGTCAGGCCGGCCTGACGGGCTGCCCCGTCCGGCCGAGCCCGTTTGGGCACCTTCCCGGTGGAATTTTTTGATGAAATTTTTTGAGCATGTTCCTCATCAAGTCTAGTTTGTCCATACCAAATTTCAGCTCAAAATTCGATCGGGAAGGTCGTCAAATGATTTTTGCAAGTTAACTGGTCCGGAACCATGAAGTCATTATTCATTACATATGAATTAGTTTTTAATTGTTGTGCACTAGATTCGGATTTTTGTGCGCAAGAGACTTGTTTGAATATTTTATATACATATTGTGTGTCAGATACTAGTTCATGTGCATTATATTCATGTACAACTTGTATAAATTTCAATGTATTATATCACAACCGTATATGCTTTATATATTACATGTATTATCATCTATTTTTAGTTGATTTTATTTTGGTAAGAACTATTAATTATATTTTAAACTTCCCTAATTTAAGGAAGTGAGCTACGTTATACTTTATCCACATTAAATACCCCTTTTCAAAATTACAACTTCATCCTTTGATAAAGCACCGAAGTCCAATCTTTTAGATATGGAAATTATCTTCTAGGATTGTCCACACCATAATTAGGTGTACAAGATATAACTCATCCGTTGATTACTTTTGATGAGTGGTTTAGATATGTTCTCACGTTCTCACGTTAAGCATCGTTCTCATTGGAACCGCACCATATATATATATATATATATATATATATATATATATATATATATATATATATATATATATGGTAAGGTTCAAGTGAGAAGAATCCTTTAGGTGAGAAATGAGAATGAATCTCAGTCATTGGATTCGACTAAGTTGCAATAAAAGACACTTCATGATGCACTGAAATATGCAATCTAGCACGGTGGCATTTCTGTAAATACTTCTGAAAAATTCGTATTAGACTTGTCTAGTGCAACATGAAGTTGTTTTGGTGCAACATCGTCAAATTTTAGTGTAATATGAAACAGTTTTAGTGCAACACTACAAAAAATTAAATCTTACTGCAACATCAAGCTATTTTCAGCGCAAAATCGGAAATCCAACGGCTGAGATTTATTCTCATTTCTCACATTAGATGCATTTCTCACTTCAACCAAAATCTATATATATATATATAGAGGGCAGTTCACATCAGGAGTTCCTGATGAGAAGCCCCGTGCGGATAAGACCATCAGAGGGTCTTCTCAGTGGATTGTTTTTATGAAATTTTTTGAGCATGTTCCTCATCAAGTCTAGTTTGTTCATACCAAATTTCAGCTCAAAATTCGATCGGGAAGGTAGTCAAATAAATCCTGGAAAAATATGGCGCATTCTGCGCACATATAATGTGCAGTATGTTTCCAGAATTTATTTGACTGTCTTCCCGATCGAATTTTGAGCTGAAATTTGGGATGGACAAACTAGACTTGATGAGGAACATGCTCAAAAATATTCATCAAAAAATTCCATCGGGAAGACCCTCTGATGGGCTTGTCCGCACGGAGCTTCTCTTCAGGAGCTCCTGATAGGAACGGGACTATATATATATATATATATATATATATATATATATATATATATATAAATAATACATTTCAAAGATACAATTACGGAAAGTTTTGCCATGTGTCATATTTTGAGCAACTCATTCATTATCATTATCTAGGTCCTCTCTCTAATTTAGAATTACATATCTCTATTACTCTTCTACTGCCTTAATTAAAATTCCTAAAATTTAGAACTATTTAAAAGACCTTGCGTACCTTAGAATTGCTAACATTCAGAACCATGTTAGACTAGAATTCAAACTCTCATTAAATTCATTTTTTTTAAAAGTGTCATAACTTTTTCATTTGTATTCAAATTGTTACGAAAGTAATATCAAATTTCTTAACTTTTTATTATCTTTCAAATGCCACAATATTGAATATACGAAAATAAAAAAACATATTAACACTCAAAAACATCTATTTGTTTAAATTTATACTACATCCGTCCCATTAGAAGGTTCTCAAAGCAAAACAACACGGTTATTTAGATAATAATTAAATAAAGTACTTCGAGTATATATTTTGAGAAATAATTTTAATAGGTATGTATTATAATGTAATTAGTATTGATAACTGTGATGTTATAAATGTATTATTAATACTTAATGATTAATTTGTCACTTAAGGTTTTTAATTGTTTCCTAAAATGGAAATGAGAACCTTTATATGAGACATCCAAAAACGGAAAATGAGAACCTTCTAATGGGACGGAGGGAGCATAACTTTTTTATTTGTACTCTGATTGTTGCAAAATATATATCGAAAATCATAACTTTTTATTATTTTTCATGTGATATCAATATTGAAAATATAAACATAAAAAAATATTCAAACACTTTAAAAAGTCTGTTTTTTTAAATGCTACTACAAATATTGTGTAATCAAACTAGGTCAGAGTTCGACAGTTGCAAAATACACATTGAACAAATGTGTACTATATCAGTTCATATGAGATCAGTCTAGATCAGACTTAAACAGATCAGACCGGACCTGAAGATTTCAATTGAACTGACATGTGAAAACATACTTTCTCTCGAACATAGATTAACACAATTGTAGCCAAATACAATTTCACTACTTATATAAATTTTAGACTCCTACTTTAGAAATTGTACTCAAACACAATTAACACAATTTCACTATTCTTATGCACAATTTCTCCAATCAAAAGTTACATCTTTCTCATTATTCCATATAAATTTTTCTCCACACTTTTCAAACTCATCTCCCCATGGCCACTTTGCAAGATCTCTTTCATGTACTAACACCCGTCAAAGATAGCTACGCAACTACTATTAAAATCATTATTTTATGATTTTTCACTACTAAATTACTTGTTGAGTTTAATCCAACACGATATCGTAAATATATGTATAAATGTGTATGAACAACTATATTTTTTACGTGGAAACCTGAAAGGGAGAAAACCACGGGACTTTTTAGGCTAACGTCCAAGCCCTCTCTTTCTCATTAAGACTCTCCTCACCGTTACACAGTACAATTTGAGCTCTCATTAATGGGGTCTTGCAAGCTAACTAAGAGGTAAGGAAGAAGAAAAGGGATTACATGGAGGGAAACCTCCTATTTATAGGGAATATGGGAAGGGAAACAAGGCCGGCTAGAGGGCGCGGTTTCGTGGGGAGATCCATTGAGCTTTGGATTTTACTTCCTTTGAGCTTAAAAACACCATTAATGGCGGAAATCAAGCTCTCAGTCGGCAGATCCTCCTCAGGCCGCGTCGGCAGAGTGGCCGGTGCAGGGGCGGAGGGAGGGGGTGGCCTGGCTGGGCCATGGCCCAGGGCAATTTTTTTTATATTATATATATTACCTCCGTCTCTTTAAACTTTGCCAAGTTTGACCGGCACGGAGATTAATAAAGTAAAAACTGTGTGGTTGAGATTTGTGCAGAGGAGGGAGAATTAACAGAAACCACAAATTCTTTACTTAAAAGGGAAAATGACAAAGTTAGTAGGACATCCAAAAAAGGAAAGTTGACAAAGTTGACCCATATTATAAATGTGGTTTTAGTAATTAGCCCAGTGTAAAAAAAAGGTGGTCCAGGTTAAAAATATGATGGCCCAGTGCAAAGATGAATCTGTCTGGCTCTAATCTAAGCAAAAGAAGGCATGCGCCGCAGCAACATCCAAGGCAGCGGGCTTCCCGCATTTAATTACGCATTCACCCTTCACCGGTTAAGGCACCTGACGCAGCGCACTGCGCACGCGGCACGCCTCAGCAGCTCAGCCAACACCGCCGACTCTCCGTGACGCCGTCTGCTCGCCGGAGACGCAACCTATGGCTTGAGTGTAGAGTGCTTGACTCAGTTGACTGGCGACAACTTCATTTGAATCTCCTCACTTGGGTTTGATTCAAGCCAAGGTATGGGTTAATTACTTTGTTTTTTGTTTTTACAATTTTTAAATTTATTAAATATTTGATTTGTTAAATTAATTTGTGTTACAGTGTTAGTGACTTGTTGTCACAATTGATTTGTGTAATTGTGTGCTTTGAATTGTAAAATAGAAAATTAGCCAATGTCAAATGTTATTTGTGAATTTTGTTAAAATATTAATATGAATTATATAAATTAAAATAAAACATTGATTAGTTTTTTATTTTTTTGGTAATTTTAGTAGGTGTGGCTACTCAATCTACTTCCAAAAGGGTAAAAATCACACTGCGTTCGTTTTATAAGCCTAGTACAAGCACACAAAGTAGACAAGAGTTAAATGTCTCAATTAAAACTCCTAATATCTCTTGCGCTCAAGAGGAAGTAGTTTCTGATGCACTTGAAATTAAGCGGGATCCGGGAAAACGCAAAACGATAAGGCCGTTAGAGAAAAGAGATGAAATAGACGATCTTATTTGTTGCTTGGACCTTATCAACCGAAATTGAACTTTTACAAAGACCAAGTTTACAAAGATAGGATACGTCGTTTTCAAGTCAATTGGTTCAATGAATTTAATTCGTTGGAATACTCTCCAACAACACATAACAACACATAACAACACATAAGGCATATTGTTTTCCATGCTTTCTCTTCAGTGATGTTGTCCATTCCTCTTGTGTTCAATTAACATTTTAGTTTCAAACATTGTATGTATTGTTTAAAAATATTACTATGAATTTTAATGGATTTTAATCATTATGTTTACACTATTGTCGCTTTTAAAATTTTTATATAAATTTTTAGTGTATAGTCGGCCCAGGGTAAACATCGGTCCTGGCTACGCCCTTGGGCCGGTGGATGCTCGAGCAGGGACTGACCGGGTGGACGAGCGACCAGCGGTTGATGGCTGATGTCGAGCGGCGGCAGGGGGTCTTAGACCGGAACGGTGACGGCAGCTCTGGTGAGGGTCAGGGCGGCGATATCTCCGGGAGGGCCTCGGATGGTCCAGATGCGAAAATTACAGATCCGCCACTTCCCCTCTTCCATTTTTTGCAAAAATCATTAGCTTTTTCGTATCCAATTTCTTTTGTTTGTATAGTTGTTGAAAATCAGTTCTTCGCCTCAAGTTTGTTGTCGAAGCTGAAAGAACACACTTACTCTTTTTGAATTCAGGCGCTAGTGTTGAGTTTAATCCAACATAATATAGTAAATATATGTATAAATGTGTATGAACAACTATTTTTATGTGGAAACCCGAAAGGGAGAAAACCACGGGACTTTTTAGGCTAATGTCCAAGCCCTCTCTTTCTCGTTAAGACTCTCCTCACCATTACACAGTACAATTTGAGCTCCCATTAATGGGGTCTTGTAAGCTAACTAAGAGGTAAGGAAGAAGAAAAGGGATCCTTTTACATGGAGGGAAACCTCCTATTTATAGGGAATATGGGGATGGGAAACTACTACACCCTAATGGGCCGCATGGGCCGAAACGGGTCTAATAGGCTGAAATGGGCCTCACTGATCGGGCTCCGTACTATGTAAAGTCTTGGACTCCTGAATAGTAATAGACCGGGATAATATATCCCAACATTACTTTATAATCATGTTTTGATAAAAGAATCAAAACTATATGATTTAGTGAGACCTTAAATAGTTAACACACTAACGGTAGTGTATAACAAATCTCCATTTAATCCTTTTCAGTGTCTTTTTTTTATCCATTCAATTTCATGCATACATTTCTTGGTAACTGGTATGTTATATGTTTAAATATGTTAAAACAAAAATTAGACTATTTTATCAAGTAGATATAGTTCATCCGAAACTGTTCGATTTAGTTTAGAATCAAAACTTATAAATTGAAATAAGGGTTAAACTAAATGAAATCAATTCCGAATCAAAAGTTAAATTGAAATGATTACACTAAATTTAAATAACGATTCTTTAGTTGGGATTTCAATCAGTATAACTGTTTTACAAAGAATAACCAATACTCCTTACTTTTTCAATAATTATTTCATTGAAAACTTCTTCTCCCTAGATATATTCTTCCACCGTTTTAAAATATTTATGATGTTTTTAATTGGATTAGTTTCAGTTTCATACCAGGTCAGACGAGAACATACTAGATCAAGTCATGCAATACTTTGACAGCTGTAAAATACTTATAGACCAAATATATACCAGAGTCGACCCGTTCAAATGAAATCAGAACATACTACACTTAAACAGATCATATCATAAATTTTTAGACAAATTAACCACCCTTACATGAGATTTACATGTGAAAACACAATTTCACTTTAACATAGATTAACACAATTTTACTCAAACACAATTTCACTAGGCTCCTTTACAAAATTTCACTTAAACACAAATTATGAAATTAAGGCATATTTACTAGACTCATACACAATTAATGATCAATTAAAATGATTAATCATCTTATTTACTACTCCGTACTAATTTATTTATCTTCTTATCGACTACTAATTTAATAATTACTTTTAATTACGAGTTCACTTGGAATTAATAATTACTCTGTAGTATTTAACGTGCACCAAGTTAATAATTGTTTAAACGTTTTTTACAGACTATATTTTTTAATGAAAAGAGCATTTGCAACTAATTATCTAAACATTTTCCAGTCTATATTTACTAATGGAAAGAGTGTTTTTATAACTATCAATTGCATCCAAATGAAATTCATCTTTTCAACTATCTCTGTCTAAACAAAAAAAAAAATGAAAATGCTCAATGCCTATTTTTATCCATTAAATTCTATCCGCGGCTTATTTTTTTTTTTTTCAAAACTAACTACACACTTTTTAAGTTATTTATATAAAAATGGACGTAGTCAACTTTTTTGAAGACATTAGTCCTTATTTTTCTTAACCGATAATTCAAGTATGCATTACGAAATAGTTTTGATGACTATATAATATAATAGGGCCATCGAATATAACTGTGGTGCTAAAGATGTTTTTTTAATACTTTGAAGATTAAATTGGTAAACAAATTAAAAGTGCTAATTATTTTCTAAAATAAAAATGAGAACATTTACTAGGATAACCAAAAAGCGAAATTGAGAACCTTTAGTTTAGACGGAAAGAGTAGTAGTTTTCAAAGTCTAATAATACACTTAAGTCGATCTACTAATACTATTATCGCATTCAATGACTGATTTAGGCTGGTGTAATGACACTCCATTGCCTCAAAATGGAGATGTTGAAGATTTGGTAAAGGTTGGTGTAATATACTATGTTAAGAAAGTGATTTTTGGTTGTCCAAAAGTTTTTGTTAATATCATTTTAATCAATTAATTTATGGTTCCTATTATTTCTGTCTCCTCTTCACAAATCTCAATTATACAATTTTTACATAATTATTTGTCATGTCAATCAACTTGGAAAAATTAACATGTACGGAGGGAAATTCTTTTAAAGATTCTTGTGTTTGCCACATACAAGAGTTATAAAAGGTTGTCTCTTTTAAATATTGGATAATATAGACTGAGAAGATGTTTAAATAATTAGTTAAAAAATAAAACGTACTAAATAAATAAGAATATACATTATCAACCAATGTTATAATCGACTAAATAAGAGACTTTCTGTTAGTTCTAATAACTCATACACCAGTGCGCGCGCACAAACATATATATATATATATATATATATATGTATATATGTATATGTATATATATATATATATATATATATATATATATATATATAGAGAGAGAGAGAGAGAGAGAGAGAGAGAGAGAGAGAGAGAGAGAGAGAGAGAGAGAGAGAGAGAGAGAGAGGAAACTTCATGTCAGGCCGGCCTGACGGGCTGCCCCGTCCGGCCGAGCCCGTTTGGGCACCTTCCCGGTGGAATTTTTTGATGAAAGTTTTTGAGAATGTTCCTCATCAAGTCTAGTTTGTCCATACCAAATTTCAGCTCAAAATTCGATCGGGAAGGTCGTCAAATGATTTTTGCAAGTTAACTGGTCCTGAATATGGACAACATCACTTTATGATTTTTAATTTAGATTTAAATAATTCAACTGCTACATTCTCATTTGTCCATGTGGACAAAGGTATGGTACCTTATGGGTACCATAGAATTCACCTTAAATGAATTGTAGGTACGGTACCCTATTTTTTACGGAGTAGAAGGGTACCGGTGTTGTCACCAAGAAATAAAGAAAGAAAACGAAAAAGAAAATGGAAATTTTTGCCACATCATATGCCACATATGTGATTTAATCGGGAACGGGGAGTTACCTCTTAAAAAGACAATTTGACTCATTTTTAATACTTCATGGCTTTAATTGAGTGATTTTTGAGTTGGAGGGTCTAATTGGCATTTTCTTAATAGTAAGGGGGCCTATTTGACATTTTTTCCCTCTAATTTTATACCGTGAGTTTGATGTTTAAAGCACTTGTAAAATGGTTGAGATATTCTTTTCCAATAATTTAATTTTTTCTATAAAAAGTAGTAAACAGTGCTAATTTTATTAATTTAAAGTGTACTGTGTTTAGTTATTGCGTGTTTAATGTTGAAAGTATTTTGTTACACCAAAATGAGTAGTGTGTAAAATAAATGTCCTCATTTGTAACCTTGTAAAATAAGCATAATAAAGATTGTACTTCTAGGATAAGGATTTAATAAAGTTGTTATTTTCTTATGGATAAATCTATTGATACTTTAGTACCGGTGGACGTAGCTCAACTGGTAGCGAGGGAGTGCCACAAGGGTTAGGTCTCGGGTTCGAATCCCGACAACTGCGATAAGGGGTTACTATGCTGAAAAATGTATAGGGCTTCTGCAAGTACCGGGGAAAGAGCCTCACTCTCTATCTGTCAGATTGTGATTATAGTCCAATTTACATCCTCCCATCGTGCCGTCCGATCGGTGTTGGGGGGCCTCAGGGATGGGGTGTCATCCCTTTTTTTTTCTATTGATACTTTAGCAAATGAGTGTAATTATACTAGCTTGGTTTTTTATGAATAAAATTATATTTGTGAATTATATATGAAAATGAGTTTTAAGTAATACTTATATGAGTATAATTTTTAAAAGAAATGAGTATTGATATGATCAATATTATAAAATGAGCACAAAAAGATTTCAGATGAATATATCATAAAAAGAAATGCAAAATGAAGACAAGTAGCAAATGAGAATATGACACTTACGAAATGCGCATTGATATAACATTCAAAAATGAGCATAACATAAATATCGAATGAGCATAAATTAGTTATGATATGAGCATTGAAAAATTTAAAATCCGAACATATATGTTTGTATTTCTAGATGTCATATAAATATATTTGTTATTGTTTGTATGCTCATTCTAAACCCCGCTCATTTTTTAAAGATACACCAATGTTCATTTGTTTCTTATTTTTTTTATTTTATAAAAACTTATTAAATTATATCTATAATCAACTCCGATGAACTTCAATATACGAAGCTAATGTAATACTACATATGATACTTTTAAAATATGCATTCATATGATATTTTAAAAATGAGCATAAATGAGTATCATTTGAGCACACGTAACTTACAAAATGAGCACTCATATGAAAATCATAACTTTTTTTAGTTGGACATCAAAACATTTTCATTGATCATCAACTCTCGACTATTGAGTATTACAAACATGTTTTGTGCTCTAGTGTCTAAACTGTCTATAATCAACTCCTACGTAAATCTTATGTAATATGATACTTTTGAAGTATGTATTACTTTTACATTTTAAAATGAGCATAACACCGGTACCAAATGAGCATACATAAATTACCAAATGAACAATGATATGAAAATCATAAACATTGTTAGTTGAGCATCAAGACATTTTCATTGAACATCGGATCTTTTCTATTGAATATTAGAAGCAGGCAATTGAGTATCATAATCTCTGCTCCCATGTGAATCTAATATGATATTTTAAAATGAGCATAAAATCGGGATCATATGAATATACGTAACTTACATATGAGCATCGAAAAATTCAAAAGCTCGTTTGAATTCTCTAATATGTTTAAATGTTCATTTGTGCTCCTATTATAATGAAAAATATAGTAATGAAAAATATAGTAATTTTATATTAAAATAATTTATAGTATTTCATTCTGGAATTGCAATTATAATTGAGTTCTTTTTATAATGTTTAACTATGCATATTTATTTTGCATTATACTCATTTTAGTATAATACAAAACTCATGTTAGTAATTAGGACATAATAATTAAACTAATAAATATAAAATATTCATCTTAAATTAA